TATATATATATATATAAATATATATATATATATATATATATATATATATATATATATATATATATATATATATATATATATATATATATATATATATATATATAGAGTAATTAACATACACCACACCACATCTAAAATAATCACCAGAAAGTAACACATAAGAAGAAAGTTTACAACATTAATTCTCAGCAATCTAAATTTCAGATCTATTAAGGTTTTCACTGGCTTTATTAATCACTCAGTAACTATAATAATATCTTTAATCTTAAATCAGATATTATTCTCCATGTCAAATAAACATCCAATTGTTTGAGTAAAATTCAATGATTTTACCATTTACAATAAGATATCCTTCCTAAAAATAATATTCACTGAAAACTTTAACCAATATACTAGTACTAAATAAAATACATTATAAATACAAACCATGTTTACCATTGCACCTTACTGCAATGCTATAAAATTATAACCATGTTGGGTAAAATTAATTTACTAGTGTAAATGTATACCTTCCTTCCTTCCTTCCTTCCTGTCAATCTTATTCATCTGCATGTATGCCATAGAAATATGTTGAAAAACAAAACATGAAAAAGAACAGTCAACCATATTACAAATTAGTTAAATGTCTGAACATATAAAATACAAATGGAATCAACTTTACCTGAGTAGGCATAGCTTCCAGTGCCTCATCAATGGCTTCCACAGCTTCCTTAAACCCCTTGGGAATGCGAGAGGCAGGCATGAACTTATCTTTGTTAGTTGCATACAGGAAAGTATTTTCCTCAAACACCCACGCACTGAAGAGGAATAAAATTAAGAATTCAAAGAATTTTACAGTGGATCATTTGCTGTAAAAGTAGTCTATCATCATCTCCTCTAATAGGACTCAAATATATTTTTCTTGCAAAAAACTGTATCAATCACTGTTGATTTATGAACAAAAATTCTTATACGGCACATGCAAAAGTTCAATAAGTGGTTGTGTAGTTTATCTAACTTTATTTCCTAAATTTTGAATGAAATTACCCAAAAGCAAATTGATTAAGTGGTATGTTTAGTGTAATCACAGACGTATAATGTGTCTATAGTCTTGATATTTCATTCTATTATATGTACAATACTATGCCATATAATAGTATTCTAACAGTGCCATTCTGAGAGAGTTTATAAGATAGGCCTAGTGAATAGACTTTGGTTGCTTTCACTGGAAATCTTATCTTGGTGATTTCCTTGTCAGTTGTAAATATTCTGAGGTTCCTCTACCGGATTACTGTACTTACTAATTCTCAGACCCATAAAAGAAGATAAAATGCATTGGTTTCTTATTGCTTGGTCTCTTCACTTCGGGCTTTGGCTCTATCACCTAAACATAAAGAATGCAAGCTTTTGATTCTGCCCCATATAATAACCAATTTTCAAAACAGGAATCAATAACCTATGAAAACAAGCAATGAAGCCAAAATTAAACTAGGTCAAATATTTTAAATTCTTTGGCAAACAATAGATCATGATAGTGTAGGCAGCTTGTCTCGCCTGTAAGAAATCAGCAAATATCACAACATGGCAAAGAATTGGAAAGGGTGTGGTTCGCATGTTAAGAAATGCTCTACATATTTTTCAATGGTCATGATACTGAGACAATCAGTGATAGGGTTGGGTTTCAATCAAAAGAAACAGCACCGACTTAATAAAAAAGTTTAAACCATAAATCATGTCTTTCTAAACCAAAGCAATATTCTTCATTTGGGAAACATTATCATTAAGTTTATGCGTTGGCAAAGATGTTACTATAATTGGATGATTTAGCATTGCTAGCCGAATGCACTACTACCAACTCCCCCTTTTGGCGTGAGGCACGGGCACCAACCGGCCTCTCTTTGTTCACGAGGGTGCACGTACCTTCCCCGGCCATGCAGGAAAGCCCTTCATTTTCGCCCTGAAATTGGAAAGATACGGTCATTAAACATATTGACATTCATAGATGAGATCTGATCACAAAATTGACCATGCATTATTCTAAACCAAGCACATCCTTACCATACAAGATCGCCGACTCTGAATTTTGATGCCATCTTGAATTGTTCACGTGGGATGTACAAGATAAAACGCGCACCGTGTGCTTTTGTCACCGTGACACTATCGATATCTTAGATATGAGTATATTGTTTCAAAATCTTAAAAAAATCCGAAACAAAAATCTATTTTTGGGAATATAATTGTATGTATTTACTAAAACATATCTGTTTATTTAAATCTAAGTTAACAGATTATGAAAAGTAAATATCTATTTTGAAGCTAGTTTTAAGTTTTACGCGCGTTTTATCTTCTCAACCAGATACTGTTTACATATGGCTGACTAGTGATTTATAAGTTGAAGAGTCTTCTAAAGATTTTTTTGTGGCATTTGTTTTAATCTAGCAATTTAATAGATATATTTTACTGTGACGGTTGAATTTTAGTCGAGACAAGAGGTGGTATAGTGATTTATTAGAATTTTACTTAAAACGCTTGGAAAGGTAAGAATCCGCGTTGGAAATGATTTAAAAAAAACTTCAAATAAAATAACCTGATATCAATATTTCTTTCTGTAATACGCTAGCGGTCAACGTGACTGATCAAAGACATTTTTCTAGAAATTTAGTACAACTGTTTAATTTTTAAATCAGAAATGGTATAAAACACACAAAAAGGAACCAGAGAATGTAAGAGAATTTTGATTTTTTTTATATGAAAATTTTATATAGTGGGAAATCCCAGATACCTTTAATTAAGTGCTGTCAATTTATTATCAGTATTAACTTTACTTATGATTGACACAGCATTTGTAGCATTTTAATTTGGACTGTAATGAAACTCAATTTTCTTTTGTGAGAGTGAAAATAGAAAAATCAAATGTACATTTTATTGTGGTCACTTTATTACAAGTAAGTTCTTTTACCATCATGATCATAAAATTTGAAGACAACAGTAAAAATAACTTTGCTTATTTGACGAAATGTATGTATAAAATTATTATTATTATTATTATTATTATTATTATTATTATTATTTAGCTACAACAAAGAAATAAGTTAACCATGGGTTGTGGCTCCAGTTCAGGTAAGAAAAAAGAAAAGAAAATAATAGGTGTTTGAATTCACGAAAAAAAAACTTTAAGGTTACCTTATGCACACACTTGAATTAACATGATGAAATGTTAATATAACCAAACCAATACCAAATAAGTTCAAATACATGAGTGAGTCATTTCACGTGCCATTTATTTTAAGATATTTATGTGTTATCTTTACTAACCCATCCTTTTAATTTTCATGGCATTTTTATTTTCCTATCTTGAAAAAGATGTGTTGAAGTCACCATTACAGCATAAGTGATTAATTTATTTTAGAGCATCTTTCAAATTTATTGAAAGTATTTAGTAATGTAAATTATATTTTAAAGGTCCTGCATATCCAAAGCAGCAATATACAAATGGGGGTAAGTAGAATGAGTAAGAAGTATTTAATTTCTCAATTTTTTAAAAATATGCACAGCATAAAAAAAATTGATACTTGTATATGACATATGTAGCAGACAATTTTTAACATTTGTTAACAGTTTTACTATTTGTGAGAACACCAAATTTGATACTGTAAATTATAAATAATCATTTAAATTTTTATAGGTTATCCCTCACAACAGTACAGCAGTGGAAATCAACCTGGAGGTGAGTGGATGATTATCAGAGGCAATATGACCAGGTCGTTTTTTTTTTTTTTTTTTTTTTGGAAGTTAACTTTTAAAACAAGTTTCAGGTGTCAGATAATTTGGTTAAAATTTTTTTTCCACTGATTGTCCATTGTTTTTAAATCTATTTTTTCCATTGGAATTGTTTTCCCATCTGGTCAATGCTCAATGTTAGGACACATTCAGCACCACATTAACTTAAACTGTTTTTAGACTAATTCCAAGAGGAAGCAGACAGTCGGGTGTTGCACCCAACCCCTATGTAATATAAGTTAATAGCATATTGAATGGTTGCTGGGTTGAACTGAAGGATAATGAAAGCTTTGCAGTTTGAGCAAAAAACTCAATTGCAATCCACATGCCCACTATCTGAAGTCAGTCCAAAATTTGTTTAATGTCAAGCAAATTTTCATTGTCACAATGTAACTTAATTTCAGCCTACTATGGACCTACAGGGCCAATGATGGTTGGTGGAGGATGCATGCACAACAACAATGATGACAGATTTGTAGAGGGTGCTTTAGTTGGTAAGCAATGATTTTAATTGAAGTTTTTTTAGTTTTTATTTACTGTCATCAGACTTTCTTAAAAGATGTTGGAAGGTGGTGTGCAAAGAATAAAATACACCATACAGGTCAGCAGCCAGCAATTTCAGAGGAGGGGTTCGTTTTCTAAAAAAGTGTACCTTTTACCATAAAATCCTCAAGTAGGCCTACATAGGTCAAATTTTACCCAGAGTGGACCTTTTCCCAGCAAAAAGGGTGGTTCTTTCGAACCCCCCGAACCCCCCCTGGGTACGGGCCTGCCATAACAGATTGTAAACAGTTTCAATGTTGATTTTCTGTACAGCATGTATTTTTAACTGAATTATCATTATTATTGTTATTATCACACTGAAGGGAGAAATTAAGACATTGATGCATTGTAACAGATAATGGTATTTTTTAAATAGTTCTGTTTATTTAGATGTTTATAATTCTGTTTTGGCAGTATGGACAGAGATAGGCTTTTTACAGTGGGATGGGGGTAGAGAGTGAAGTGACGTGTTGGGGGAGAAGAGAAAAAGAAGGAAAATATTAAATTTTACTAGGTTTCTGCATGAAAAAAGAAAAGTGTGGCAGACACATACAAATCCCCTTTGCAGTTCCCTCCATCTTCCCTCTGGACCCATATTAGCATATTATTCAACAGGAATTTAATTACTCTCTTATAGGTGGTGCTGTAGGCATGATGGCTGCACATCAGATGGGAGGTGGATATCAGCCAGTAGATCTTCCTGGAGGATACCACTTGGGACCTCGGCTTCCAAATCACAGTGTTGAAGTAATGGGAGTGGACATCATGTAGCATGAGGACTCGAGTATTGACCATATACAACTGCAAAATGTCACCCTGAAGTTCAGAGGGTATTGGAAACCTACCAATCTTTTTGTGATCTTTTTATCTGAATATATCTAACAGATAATTAACCAGGGATAAAGTTCGTACTTGAACTTGTATAGCTGTGATATTATTATTATTATTAATCAGAGGCTTTGATAAATATAATTACAGTGAGCAAATCAAAGTTTTTGAAGTTTTTGCAATCTCTCTTTCTGCCAAGACCATTGTTGATCTTTTTAAGAAATGAATCTTCATGTTACTTTTCACCTGTAGCAGAGTCCAGCAGGTCAACAGATCATAGAATAAATATTATTCTCAATATTGATATTCTAACGTTTTAAAATTTGGGTCATTTATGCTGTAAGTTCCAGTTAGGTCTGAACCACTTCCTTTTTTAATCTCATCTGTTTGATCTTTTCATGAAACTCTGATTAAACTGCATGGAGAGTGACAACATTTAAGAAAACACTTCAGAGGACTCAGCAAAAGTTAAGACTTTCAGTGCCATTTACCACAGCTGTAAATCGAGTTTTGATGGAAATATTTCAACTGGGAGTTGGCCAGTATTGTCACTTATTGCAGTGTGAAATAGTTTTGTTTTTTTCTTGTTCATGGAAATCAGTTTGTATTATTTCTCATGTGAACTGCTAGATTTTTTCATGTTTTCACCTTAAGTTGAAAGGAGCATGTTGCCACGAGGGGTCTTCATTACTTTTTTTCCCTTATGTATTCAACAATTTACATCAGTGTCAAAAACCTCATGACTTTTAACTTTTTTTAAATACCAGATGTCAAATTTACTAGGGTTCTGAATCAAAACTATGTAACAGATTTTCAGTTCGTCATCTTCATAGTTTACCTTCATGCATCTTTTATGTAAATGAACTTAGGGCGCTTTCAAATAAAATTTTGTATAAATTATTCAACTTTTTTTTTTTTTTTGAAATCAAAACAAAGACAAAAATGTGTCACTTAACTTTGAACAAGCACATTTTATTATCTTCAACCACAATTATAGTGCTGCTTAAAACAATAAGTGGCATCAATAAATACAAACCATTACTTTTAATATGTCGATAACAACCATGCTGTCATTGTAAACCGATTTAGTTAAACATTGATTAGTAACACCTTTTTAAATGCTGCGAACTATATTCACATACAGCAACTATCAAAAGCCAGCTATATGGTGTAATAATTCACACAGAACATTTTGGTTATGCTTCTTTTCAAACAGTGTTTGAGTTGCCCTGTGCACTCCAAGCTAGTCATGGGTATTTTAACATATTTATTATAATAATCCTAATAATCCAAGGGGGCATTAACTTGAATAAATCTAGGAAGAGCAAATTACCAAAAACCACACAAATGGTGTGTAATATCATCACGTACATGACTAAAACTACCCTCCCAAGAATTCACCCAATATGATTATCATTGAACAACTAGATTTAGAGGATTATAAAAAGGAAGCACCACACTAGTCAAATACCATGGAAAACAACCAACCAGACATTTCATGTCATGAAATCTGGCACGACTCAAAAAGAAAACAGCACAGTGGGTTTGTATACCCCAAAAGAAAAAAAATCTCAATTACAGACTTGCTCCTTTGTAGCTTACATTATCTAGACCATTTAATTTTACCTGATTACTTTCTCTTGGTTATAACATGTGATCAGTGAAATACTAGAGCCTACATGCTGTCAGGCAGGTGGGTCAACAAATTCAGCAACACAGAAATGGGGGAGAGAACATAGAATTCTCCACAGGCAGACACCCAGGATAACAAAACTATGACTTGAATGATAAGGATAAATTACTTCATGTTTATGAATGATATTATCAATATAGATGGCCATCTTAAAATTAACCTCAGAGAAATGCATGTTTTCTTTTTTATATATACTAAAACTTAAACGGTCTTATCTAAAGGATCATTAGTAACAATGGATCATTTTCCATTCCCCTTCCCCCCCCCCAAAAAAAAAAAATTCTTGTTTAAATAAATTTCAAAAATGGGAGTATAGCTGTCATGCATAATGGATACAATGTTACGCACTGACCAAAAGCATTTTTACGCCTCCACTAATTATCAACCTAAGACAGACAGGATGTTAATTCAAGCATGTAAACTGCTAATCCCAAGGTTGCACCAGATGATCAACAGTTTGGTCTGTTTCATATTTCATCCACATCCGGTGAAACAGTTTCTCCATATTGGAGGCATAGATGTTGGTGTTGAATAATGATCGTGCAGTGCGGTTATTCCATACTTTGGCTCTTGTAGCTTTTAAACTGCAAAAGAAAGTCAAAATCATTAAAGATGTGGCAAAATGTTGGCAAAGGTGGAAACTTACACCACCATTACTGCACGTGAAAGAAATTGAAAAAGGAAGTTTTATATGTATGATGTCTAATATATACATATATATTTGGAGTCATCCTATCACTTACTAGTCTCTGTCAGTGCCTAGTTTGACAGCTATCCTGATGTAGTCCTCTGGAGCAGTGGCCACCAGTTCTGGACAGCCCAAACAGTGTAGCTGAGAAGCAGCTACTCTGGAAGCCAGAGTTTCACCTGCAAATTACACAAAAGATATTCAGAATTCCACATGTAATGAGCGACGTACATGTATAAGGGGAATGACATTAGTGACATACTGTTCAGGCTCTTTATTCCTCACAATATGTTTTCTGATTGAAGTTTCAATGATCCTATCTGATAACTACACATTTCCTGCTGGGTATTTTATAATTCTTCCTCCTTCATTTCTTTATTCCCCACGAAATGTTTACTGCTTGAAGTTTCTATGATCCCATCCAACAACTACACATTTCCTGTTAGGAATTCTAGAATACTTCTCCCTACCTGTCAGGGTGACCATAGGGGTGCCAGCCCAGAGGACATCCATCCCTGTGGTGTGTCCATTGCAGAGGGGCGTGTCCAAGCATACATCAGCCAGCTGACCACGGCGTACATGCTCCTCCTGGAAACACATGGTTTAAAATAAGATTTCATTAAAAATGGCAACCAAACTGAAAATCTTTACATAGCACTCACTACACTGTGGTATTTCCATAAAAAAACCAAAGAGCTCAATGACACCCAAGTTTAAATGAACCATTGCCTAAAAATCTACCACACTTTCTTTCTACTTCAATCCTACTCAACCACAACTTCAGTCAAACAAGATACATACAGCGTTTTATATCTACTTACTTTTGGAGCAACAGGAGAGAAGATGATTCTGCCTGGTGCTATGCCCATATTCTGAGCAGTCTGAACAAGGTTTGGCTCCCCTACAGCAGGGAACCTCAGCAGCCACAAAACTCCATTGGGCACCTGCTTCAGGATTTCAACCCACATCTCCAGGGTGCTTGGATCAATCTTGTACAGCTGATTGAAGTTGCAATAGACTATAGCCTCATCAGGCAGGTGGTACTGCTTCCGTGTAGTCAGCATGGGGTTTTGAGGGACCTCCTCACCCGTGGCAGCTTTGTTGTTAGTCTGGCATTGAAAAACATACACAAGTTATTGGCCAGAAATGTTAAATCTAATAATAAAACACTCAGACATAGAAATCTGAGTCTGAATGGTGTAAGGCAGGACTGTTCTTCAAGTAGCTATATGCTGAATGTGAGATTTTCCCACTAGGTTGACAAAAGAAGAGTGCCATTACATATATCTTAAATACTTTGATTTCTAGTTCAATTTTTCATAAATTCCTTGACATCATACCTGTTGAGTGGTTAGACCATTCTGTAGTACCAGCCCATTGATGCAAGTGTGTGGCTGTCCAGTCTGGACCATGCTGACCACAGGGTGGGAAGTGGTCAGTTCCACTACAGGGGTGACCACTTCAGCAGGTGTTTTGTCATCCTTACAGGAGGCTGCAACCTGGACAATTTCCTGGAGATAAAAAAAAGCTTTTATTTCAGTTGTTGTTTTAACTATTTCACATACAAATGATAGGACTACTTTAACATACTAACGTTGGGGCTAATCATTTTTTAATCTCTCTTTATTTAATTTCAGGTTTAATACATATGATACTGACCAATCACACTGCTTGTGCTGTTATCAAACATATTTAACAGCAATTACCTTCACTTCACTGGCAGTTTCCAGGACAGGTGTCAAATCGGTAGCATTGACAATGGAGATGGTATCGGCCACCTTGCCATCCTTGGTGTCCAGGATTGCCCGCTCAATCATGTGTGGAAACATGTTCATGTGGTCTCCAATGAAGAAAGTCTCTGGCATGTATGCTAACTTCTCAGAGTACTGGTCTCTCAGTTCGTATGGAGACGTGATCTTGTCTGTGATGATGTAGTCCATAAAGGAGGCGCCACTTGTTCCAGGATAACCCAGCCACATCACCTGGAATGTAGAAAACAATTTATTCAATCAACTAATAGAAACGTTCAAGTTTTTGCTAATCAGAATCACCATATTACTGCATCTGGGATATAGTATTTGGAAGGGGCATTAGTCATAAATTCTATTTACCATTCACATGCTCAATGTCTTTGAATAAACATATCATATGAAGACTATTAACTTAACATCACAGGGTAGTCAAATTACAAGGGAAAAAGACACATCACAACAAAACACAAGCATCTTTAGATTCATCCACATTAATCACCTGAATTGGTGCAGGTCTCAGTGCAAAAATCTCATTTCTGGCTCCTTTAGTGTAGCCGTTCATATTGACAAGAATGTGGATGCCATCAGCATGGATACGGTCAGCTGCTTTACCATTACAAGGTACCTGAGGCAGAGATTTGTAACAATTTAGTTTCAACATTTCACATTTTAAGATCTAACAGAATGTAAAATTTCCTTAGCTGCACACCATTATATTTAACACTAGCTTAATAAGTCATCAATCTTCTGGCACATGTACTATTTACTTTTTTTAGTCAAATATTCCACTTGCAGACATAAATATCCATCTTTAAAGTACCTGTGATAAGTCTATGAAGTGTTCTGCCTCTCTCATGACTTTGGATCTAAATGTAGTGCCATCATCAGGGCTCAAGGCATAGCAGAAGATCTGGATATTTCAAATAAATATGAATGAAATAGTATCAGTAAACTTTCCAGTTTTTTAAAAACCATACATCTCACAATTTATTCTTGAGGACTTGTATGTGCCTCTGAACTTATACCCAACAAATATTTGAGACTTCGGGAATGTTGTACACAGTTAAAAGGATTACTATTTCTATTCACATTGCACATTGACATCACAATATTAGCTGTTTTTCTCTTCCCTCACCTCCACATTTTCCCTCTTATGTTCTCCAGGTATACTCTGCATCAGGTGAGAGGTGGGGTGGTTGCCGAAGTCAGAGCTAAGGTAACCAATCCTCAGCCTCTCTCCTTCCAACTTGTGAGTGGGGTGCTGGTAGGGGGGCTTGTGCAACACATTGATCTGAAAGGAAGAAATAGTACACATGTAAAGTATAACATTACATTTAATAGTTTCATTAAAAATGCCTATTAATTATCAATCATTATTTCTGACAGCAGCCTTGGGTCAAAGAAGGAAAGACACACTGCTGAGAAGTTTTATTTCCCCAAAAGATCTTTATGACAAAATATTAAAACTAATTTGATGAAGTTACTCANTATATTATATTTCTATGAGTTATTCACAGGGTTTTTATTGTGAAATATAGGTCTCATACAAAGAGTTATTATGCCTTTAACATCACAGGGTAGTCAAATTACAAGGGAAAAAGACACATCACAACAAAACACAAGCATCTTTAGATTCATCCACATTAATCACCTGAATTGGTGCAGGTCTCAGTGCAAAAATCTCATTTCTGGCTCCTTTAGTGTAGCCGTTCATATTGACAAGAATGTGGATGCCATCAGCATGGATACGGTCAGCTGCTTTACCATTACAAGGTACCTGAGGCAGAGATTTGTAACAATTTAGTTTCAACATTTCACATTTTAAGATCTAACAGAATGTAAAATTTCCTTAGCAGCACACCATTATATTTAACACTAGCTTAATAAGTCATTAATCTTCTGGCATATGCACTATTTACTTTTTTTAGTCAAATATTCCACTTGCAGACATAAATATCCATCTTTAAAGTACCTGTGATAAGTCTATGAAATGTTCTGCCTCTCTCATGACTTTGGATCTAAATGTAGTGCCATCATCAGGGCTCAAGGCATAGCAGAAGATCTGGATATTTCAAATAAATATGAATGAAATAGTATCAGTAAACTTTCCAGTTTTTTAAAAACCATACATCTCACAATTTATTCTTGAGGACTTGTATGTGCCTCTGAACTTATACCCAACAAATATTTGAGACTTCGGGAATGTTGTACACAGTTAAAAGGATTACTATTTCTATTCACATTGCACATTGACATCACAATATTAGCTGTTTTTCTCTTCCCTCACCTCCACATTTTCCCTCTTATGTTCTCCAGGTATACTCTGCATCAGGTGAGAGGTGGGGTGGTTGCCGAAGTCAGAGCTAAGGTAACCAATCCTCAGCCTCTCTCCTTCCAACTTGTGAGTGGGGTGCTGGTAGGGGGGCTTGTGCAACACATTGATCTGAAAGGAAGAAATAGTACACATGTAAAGTATAACATCACATTTAATAGTTTCATTAAAAATGCCTATTTATTATCAATCATTATTTCTGACAGCAGCCTTGGGTCAAAGACGGAAAGACACACTGCTGAGAAGTTTTATTTCCCCAAAAGATCTTTATGACAAAATATTAAAACTAATTTGATCAAGTTACTCGNTTAATAGTTTCATTAAAAATGCCTATTAATTATCAATCATTATTTCTGACAGCAGCCTTGGGTCAAAGAAGGAAAGACACACTGCTGAGAAGTTTTATTTCCCCAAAAGATCTTTATGACAAAATATTAAAACTAATTTGATGAAGTTACTCGTTTTCCTACACATCCATATTGTAAGGTCTTGAAGATTTACCTTCTCTAAGCACAAGTTAGCATGTTTTGCAGCAATGGCTTTCCTCTGTTGATGTGTCAGTGGGTACAGCATGCTGTGGTGAGGGTGGACAGAGGGCAGCCTGTTCTTTTGTAACTGATCCTCCACTATCTGGACCAGACGCTTCATCCTGGCATCGTAGTCTGTCCAGTCACATGTAATCTAAAATGAAAATATGACAAATTTAAATAAATTACTGAACCTTATCCCATGTAAAAGAGCATTAAGGACAAAAAGTTAGCTCAACTCAAAACCTTATTCAAAGCAAATAATTTTTATATGGACATAAATTGCCTTTAAATTTCCTTCCATTTATTGACATAAAAAATTGACGACTGGCAAAATCAGTTTACTCAGGCAAAAATAACAAATAAAAAAAATCCTCAAAATGAAATTACAGATGTGATATACTAACCTGAAGGCAATGAGCCAAATTACAATAAGCATCTGGAAAATCTGGTTTCAACTTCAGAGCAGTTCTGTAGGATGAAATGGCTTCAGGGATATTCCCAGAGTCCTGAAAACATGGGATTCAGTTTAGTACATTTTACAACTCAAAAGTAAGACATGCCCTATTCAATTCTGCATGTTAATGCAATAGCAAATCTAAGCAGCGTCTAATACAGAGACATGTACATCCACAAAAAAGTTTCTGGTACATACTTGCTCATACAAATATCACTTAAATTTTCTTTGTTACCTTGTGGATAGACGCCAGATTGCTGTGTGCATCAGCAAAGGCAGGGTTTATCTGTATGGCTCTGGTGTAGCACTGCAAGGCTCCCTGGATATCCTGCATCTCCTTCAGGGTGTTGCCCATGTTGGAGTAGGCATCAGCAAATGTGGGAGATATTCTGAAGACACAGTCATCATACAAAACACTGAACAACATACTTAAACTTAAGGACACCCTCTAAAATCCTGCCAATCTAGACACTTTCAATTTTAGCCTAAATATAATTATGATTTAATAATTGCACAGCGATGATAATTTTGATCTCACTCTGCCTTAGTATGTTTAAGCCATTTGCTTTAATATCATATTTGAAAGCATCAATTTTTCAATATTTTTTTTTCATCCACAATAATAACCTTAAATTTCAAAGTATCAAATGGAAAAAGCACCACCAGCATGTTTAAATGGTTAAACATTATCCAGTAAGAGTGAGCAGAACTTTGTAAATTGACCAATATCTCTTTTGTCTAGATTAACAAGGTTTTATACACTGCATTTATTCCACATCAGGCTAAAAGTAACTATTCCCAAGTTGCAAAACTGACCAACTGTGATTCACTTGGTGGCTAACATTTTTTTTACATGGATAACCATTTAAATACAAAGAACATTGTACCACACGATTTGTATTCAATATTAACCATTACACTCTTGTTTTTAAGTTTCAATTGTAATATTATTTTAACATGTGAAGGTTTTGCAACCCCTAGTTTATAAATCCTGTCAATACCTAAGCATGAACTATCTAGTTATTGACAACTAAAACAGTTAAGATCACTTCAAACAATAGCTATGCAAAAGACTTAAAATCAACACTGAGACTACTCATTTATTAATTCATTTTTCTTTTATTTGGAGGGAGGGAGGGGGGGGGGATCAATTTACTTGGGAACAACACAGGGAATTTTCTATGTAAAGGCCTCAGAATTTTGAAGATTGTTATGATAAAAAACACAAAGAAACAAACAAATAATGGAGCATCTTGAAAGAATAACTGTGCAATTCCACTCAATCACATATGACAATTTGCAAAATTACTGCAACCCAGTGCTGATTTTAAGTGATATAACAACATACACCCAATCAAATTCTAAGCCAGCAGTTGAAAGAAATAAAGATTGTAGCCAGTCTTAGCTGCTGGAGTGACAACAGCATATTTTCTTCACTTTGCAAAAAAAGTAACAATTTTACATTTAAGCTTTTTCTTTCAGGGTTTTTTTTTTTTATAAATATATGAAATCAAAGCATTTCCAGCTTTTTAGATACAAAAACTTTTCTTAGCAGCTTCAAAATTGACACCCAAACATAGCTACTTCCTGAAATAACACACAATTGATAAGACTTAGAAAAGAGATACTATTAAAAGCCACCTATCAGCTTACAACTACAGTTAGCTGTTAATTTCTAAATAGTGTAATAATATAAATCCAGTGTCATTCATCATCCCTTTGGGCAAAATCTCTGCTATGTACGGATACCTGATTGCTTCCTTGTAATGCATAAGGGCATCAGTGAGTTTGCCCTGCTGCTGTAAGATGCTGGCAAGGTTGGAGTGAGCAGCTGCAAATTCAGGAAACACCTGCCAAAACAAACATACAGCATGCACCCTTACTATACACTGTGTTATCTACTACTGGGCTTGGGAGATTTCTTTATCACCAAGTCTCTCCTCGTCAGCATTCAGATAGGGAAATATCCTAGTAGCTCCTCTGGCTCTATAGCAGGGTCACATGAAAAGCTGCAGGGAAGTTCTGATCATTTCCTATCATCCCACCCCCAGAGACCCAGGCCTTTCTCAGCCACCACTGTCCAACACTACCACATGGAATATAGCCACAGGAAAGTGTACGAAACTTAACTGATCTTACTAAAGCACTGAAGCATGGCCAGTTGTCTCACTCCAGTAGTGGTGCACAGTGGTACTATGGGGACCCAGCTTGCAGGGAGCTCTACCAGCAGAAATATCCCACGAGAATAGTGTGCAATACTTCTGCCTTTCTCCCTGTCACGCTGGGTTTACTACCCTGGGACATCAATGGCCAAATGACCAGCCATCACTACCTGATAGCCTCCTTGTAGTGCATAAGGGCCTCGTGGAGCTTGCCTTGTTGTTGTAAAACACTGGCCAAATTGGAGTGAGCTACTGCAAATTCAGGGTACACCTGAAACACGCAGGAGCAGGGGGAAAACATTCAGAGGTTGTTCAAGGTAAACAACATGTCCTGAAATCAAGTCATCTCATCTCACAAGCAAGAAGAAAAAAGTATCTTTCNGCCTCGTGGAGCTTGCCTTGTTGTTGTAAAACACTGGCCAAATTGGAGTGAGCTACTGCAAATTCAGGGTACACCTGAAACACGCAGGAGCAGGGGGAAAACATTCAGAGGTTGTTCAAGGTAAACAACATGTCCTGAAATCAAGTCATCTCATCTCACAAGCAAGAAGAAAAAGTATCTTTCTTTTTTTTCAATTGTAAAATCAGAGAGACAGTTCAAGTAAAGGGAAGTTCAGTTATGGTCCAACTATACCTGTTCCACCAAATGATATCCAAAGGGTCCTGAAACTTTTCTACAAAAAGTGCACACGCAAAGATTGCCTTTAGTTTTCAATCTTTCTGTAGAATAATTGTTTTGGAAAATAATTTCAATGTCACTATATTCATCTATCAAAATCCAGATTTTCTATCTACAAACAAGGACCAATGTTTAAAATGGCAAATTCATCTGGAATCATACCTCCAAAGCCTTCAAGTAAAGCCTGACAGCTTCTTCAGTGTGTCCTTGCTCTCTTTTTATATTGGCTAGATTGTTTAATGAATCTGCATGGGTTGGGCACAACTTCAGGGCAGTGTTGTAGCATTTCTCTGCTTCAGCAACCTGAAAATTGTTTATCATTAGTTTTCCTTCTTTTCAAAGGAAATTTGCAAAACAAATAAATCTCAAGTTTATCCACTAAATACATAGTTTACATTTTTGACACACAAAGGCTTTGTCTTTTAACATCACCAAAATGTTTAGTGACAGCACCAAACACAAATATCAATAATTTTTTCCATGGGGTTTATGTTATATTACCTGCACTTTCTCTTTCAAAGCATTAGCCAAATTGCAGTATGCATCAGGGAAGTTTGGCTGCAGCTCAATTGCTCTTCTATATGTGTCAATAGCCAAGTCTATCAATCTTGAAAAAGAAATATCATGGCCTTGATTAAAACAAACTTAGCTCTAAGAATTAATTATACACTAATTTTATCTGACTGCATGTTATTTCTTTAGACAAATTTTTGCAATAACATACTTTCTTTCAACATTTTAATCAAGTTCAAATCACCATTTACAAAACAGGAACAGTTCTGCGCTTAGTTTTGACTTACCCCTGTTCATAGTAAACACAAGCCAAGTTCCCATGTACTATAGCATGGTTTGGACTTAGACTAAGGGCTCGCAGATAAGCTGCAACAGCTCTGCAAAAGAGTGACACAATGCATCACATTCTGCATGTTAAATAAAGCAACCTTAATGGGATTTAGAGGTTAAGTAGTAAATAATCAATGCTTAATAAAAGAGATTTCACAATTCTATGTATGCATCCAACAAACTTGAAAGTTGAGACCTAAATGCAATGAATGTTAAAGCAATATCTGTACAGTCCACTTACCTGTCAAAGATCCTAGCTTCTTTTAAGACATTGCCTAAATTGATATACGCATCTAAGAAACTTGGGTCTAGAGCCACTGCCTAAATTGAAGCAAAATAAAAATTGCATTTCTTAAAACATATTTACAGTAGTAACTCATTCATTGCTATTTATAAATTAAAATGTTTTTTTTCTTTTTCCTTTACACATTCAAATATGAAGTCCCTTTGGTAACCAAGAAACAAAAACTATACTTACTTTTTCAAAGTGATGAATTGCCAGCCATATTTCTCCTTGTGCATTAAACACACATCCCAGATTACTCCAAGCTACGGCAAAATTGGGTTGAGTCTCTATGGCTTTTAGATAACATGCCTGGTGTGGGTGGGTCCATATCCCAAAGGTTGGCACAGGGGGTTCAGGTTACAACCATTCATTTGGATCCAGTGTGGAGTGGAGGAAGTGAGAGGAGGTAGAAGTGACAGAGGGACAGACAGACAAAGAGAGAAAAAAGAAAAAAGAGAAAAAGAAGTATATTAGACATGGTAAAATTGCCAGTTTGTGTCAGCGCCTGCGTGGTTGAGAGCGTACGCATGCGCGGGACGCAGCGCGGACTTGTATGTGAGACCAAAATAAACCATGCTCAGACGGTTTACTATTTCTAATATATACAATGAACTGATAATCAACAACAGCTACAATTTTTGTGAGACTTAGGTTTATTGTGCTCTCAACAGTCAATAATGCAGCAGTGTGGCAACCTCCCTCCCAACGCTGGTAGCAGCTCGCAGCGCACCACGCTCTTTGCAGAAAGGCAAAAATCCTGAATTCAAATCTTTTTTTCTTCAAACTTCATAAACATTTACTGATAAATACCATTTTGAGCCAGTCTCCCACTTATGCAATTTTATCCAAAAACATGTTGAATAATTTGGTTTTTCCCAAAAATAGATTTCAAATAAGAGAAATGTCCCAAACGGAGTGTTTTATGGTGCCAAACCTGTGTGAATTTCTGTCGAAACTTTGCGAGATATTTCTGCAGTGTTCACTTGGGTCGACTGACTGATAGTTCAAACCATAGGCATCTTGCATGTTAGGGCTACAAACCCCAATTTATTTCATACCACTGGCTTTTCTTCAGATTCTGACGTCCTTTGGGTACCCTCTGCAAATGGGCAGGTCCAGAACAAAACACTTGTCATGGTATAACTAGACACAGATCAAATAGAAATAAACTTTTCATTAGTATTAATGAAGGAAAACCCCCATGCCTTCACTCATCAGCTCTCTTAAAGTAAACTCATTGCACACCTTGAATTTTATGACAAAATGTTACTGTGCTACAGACAATTTTTTAGTGAGAATATTTGACAATTTCTTGTCCAAATCAGTTCTACTATTAGTAAAACAATCTATTTTAAACAGATAAATATATTTAGTAGAACTGATGACAAGACATCATCTCACTAAAAACATCTGCAACACTGGTTGTCTGCAACTGAGGCATTAAATTGCTGAAAATACTTAGACCAGAAGGGGTGTTGTTGTGTGAATTTTAACCAAGTTGCTTTAAGTACATTAAATCTTTTATTAATGTGAAGTATTACATAAGTAAAGTTTGCTAGTATTATTGATGTTCAGTCTGACTGTGGTTATGATGATTGTACCTGGAGAAGATAAGTTTCCCAAAAACCATGAATTTTCAATGCAATGCCAAACAAATGCAATAGTCTTTCACTAAAAAAGCAACAGTTATGGAAAACACATTAAACAAGGACCTGCCTTCAGAAAGACCATTGTTTATATAAAAATACTACTATCTCACAGCACAACTTACACAATTTCCTTCGCTTGCTTCAGAGAGATGTGTTGCAGATTCTCATCTCATGCAATCTTGGCTCACATAAAGTACATAATTATTAAATTTAGATGTTTTACTATTCCCATGCAAGTTTCAACACCACAAAATATTCCCCTTAGATTGCAGCAGAAAATGAAAATCTGCCAATAATAATATGCAGCGCTAGCGCAGGTTTACAGTTGTCCTGAAAATAACTGCATGATGCTTCAACTGCAAATTTTTGTACAAATCCCATGATAAAGCTTTCACTGGGCCAACTAATGATATCCATCCTATTACTTAATATATGTACATATATAACAAAGGCATCAGTTTCAGCAATTTGTACAGTGTTTTCCAGGATCAACGTATAATCCAGGAAACCCAAATTGGTTTCCAGGGGCTTACATGGACAAAATACCACTCCACTGCTTAGAATGGCAGCTTGTCCATGTACAGGCCATGACTATCTCCACTCTTGTAATCTGAAAGAATACAACACTTGTGATCATGAGGAAAAGGGGCAGGGCGCCTCCTATTTATAAAACAAGAGGTCTTCTTGGTGTAGCACTTTAGGATATCAATGGAATGCTAAAACATGACATATAGCTTCACTTTGAAATTAAATGAAGTTTTTTTTTAACATGTAACAATAATTAGGCATTCTCCTTCATCTGTTCAATGTAAAGCATTCCATTAACCCAAAGTCTTACATCATCGCGCGGTCTGCAGGAGCAGTGAGAGCTGTGCTGTGTAAAACATACATCCTGTAAACACATGATTATTTAATAACAAACCCAAATCTCTCTGAAGGCAACCACACAGCAGTCCAAATTCATACAACAGGAAGAAATGAGCTTCCAGTGTCAGACATGTACATAAGAGAGCATTTGTCTCATCTTATTGCAAATGAGACATGCTGAAGCAGCATTAGTCCTTGTCTCTTCTCAGGCCCTACAATTTTTTTTTATTGTGATGTATGCTAGTGTGTGCTATCACCATGACAGTGACTGTAAGTGGCACAGACTCAAAATACCTTGGCCTCATCTAGTCGCCCCAGTGCTTTCAACAGGTTGCCCAAATCACTTCGCACACAGTACAGGTCCTAAAACAAAATAAGAGACCATGTGACGTATTTTTCACAATACTCTCTTTGATTTAAATAATACCAAGGACTTTCTCAATGTTCCCAACTTCAGAGGAACTAAAGAAGGTGGACTTAACAGCAACGGCAATATTATTCTTTGAATAGTCAAAGTTCCTTTCAAAATAAAACAATCTATCTTGCAAAATCAAAATTTATTATGTTGAAAATAAGACTACAGAAAATGAGTCTTACAGGGTTGTACTGCAGTGCTGTCACATAAGCTTGGACTGCCTGTTCCATGTCTCCAGCAGCTACCAAGGCAGCAGCAAGGTTAATATAGCCATCTATGAAGTCAGGTTTTAATCTAACAGCATGTCTGTAATTTTCTAGAGCTTCTTGGAGTTGCCCCCTTTCTTTATATACATTCCCAAGATTTGAATATGCTTCAGCTAAAAGTGGATTCTGTTTAATGGCAAGCTGGCTAAAATATGCTGACCTGGTTGAAAAAAATATGTGACGTAAGAAAAAAAATGGTCTTTCAGCAAGGGTTCAAAGCTAGACTCTACCTTACATATAAAACATTAACCACCTTCTGACTGGGTTACTTATTGAACTAACCATTAAAATTACTTCTATTTTCCATTATTTCTTAAATTTGCCCCCCCCCCCCAAAAAAAAGGCCCATCATGACCCATCAAAAGTAAAACTGAATTCCAAAACATAACATATTTTATATGACCTAATAAGAACTTTTTAAGGCAAATAAGTTCTTTTTACCATGAATAAACACAAACTTACTTATCCAGTCTTCTACACTGAAAGTGTATAGAACTCAGCAAGAGCAGCACCCCTGTATTATCTGGCTCTTGTCTCCATAACTGCATGCAGTGTTGCTCTGCCCTTTCATAATCTCCTGCCTGGTATTCCCTATGTGCCAGTTCAGCTAAACCTACAAGACATTTTAACCTTTAAATCACATTTTCCAAACTAATCTTGGTCTTTGTTCCTAATCCAATACACAAAGACAACACGTAAATGAAACAATCTAAAACATGAGACTTTCAGTCTCTTTAATTACATTACAAAAGAATTGCCCTTTCACATGTGTTAATGTATTAGATTAACTTTCAAATATTTTTGTACATTAAATACAAAGGTTAAGCCAATAAAGTATTCACTTAAAAGCCAAACATTTATGTCCCATCTTGGATAATAAAATAATTATATATTAGTAATAGTTCTTAAATGAGGCACGGTTATGGTAAGAATGAGGCCTTGAAATGATAGATATCCATATTCCTGCTTTAATATTTTATAAATTTCAGCTGTTATTCTAAGGGTGCATTCCCAGAGATTTAGATCGATCAAGAGATGAAGATTTAGATCGACCTCACTCCCTGGGGGTTCACGCTAAATTGCAGTCAGCCGAGCGCAACATAGTTAATTACCCCCTTACAGCTTTCCGTAGGCAGGACAGTTGCTTAAGCCGGCTAAGCTGACAGTAATCTGGTGGGACTCCCCACAGGGATAGATCGATCTAAAATCTATGGAAATGGAGTCTAAAATACAGGGGACTTTGTGTCACAGGTACACTCATCTTTGGTTTCCTTGTCTACATTTGTTTAATATAAATATTTTAATGCATATAAAATGAGAAAAGCATTTGGGATAGTGGATTTTTTACATCTTTTCAAACTCTTGACTTTATGGCTGCATTAAGTATGCATAGGGACAGATCTTTGGAAGCTCTTCGCTTCGAAAAGCCATTCCCAACAAAGCTGGAATGTTGACAGCAACATTAAAAAATTTGGGTTTTGAAATCACTCTATCCTCGTCTGTTCTCATTTTCCTGGAAACTCATAACAAATGTTCTCATGCTCTGCATTGCAAGAATCTGTTTTTATAGTTTCAAATATTTTCGATCACATATATTCCAATACTTTCAGTGTTTGAACATCAAAGTTAATCGATATGAAAATGACTGCACATATTACTTATTCAAAAATTATTTGTATATAACCTTAACATCAATTATATTTTTGATATAGCATGCCGCTTCAAGTTTATTTACATTTTCAAGGGAGGTTGTACGTGTCCATATTTTTTCATCAAGCTAACTGAATAAACCTAATGCAGAACAATGACGCAGGATTTTAACAAAAGAGCTCGAGGTCAAAAAGAGAAGTCTATAAATGAAAGGGATATGAATGTCCACACATAAAAATTTTGATTTTTTTTAAATCAGAAGGTACTACTCACCGGTTGTATCTATGAACTGCGTTCCCATTTTAATTCATACGTGTGAAATAACTTGCTATTATCCGGGAGGCCCTGTTTCGGCACAGTGCGGTAAAAATCCAAAATGGCGTCCGCAAACTATGCATACCAAATTGGGGTTGTGCAAAAGAAAATAGTGCCTACGTATAATAAATTATTTGATTCAGCCTTGTTCCATTGATGTTTTGAATGTTATTTTGCATTTATGTTATGTAAAATTGGTATGAGCATATGTCAGATTTATATAATATCTTGTTTTACGGGAGGTATTTTTATTTCTCGATGTCAGGTGCCCTTCCTTTTCGTAAGAATACATGATTCATGCGACTCATCACAGGTCAAATAAGGTCAGATATATTAATTTGCCCTTGCAGATATTATATGCAGTGATAAATAGGTATTAAAATATCATTGCTTTGTTTTTCAACAACTGCTGTCTAAAATTCCAATATTATTACCCAACTTGTAGTCTTTTCCAAGTGAATTGGCGTTGATCACTGAAGATTAAAAAGCGAATTTTCAAAGACCACCTTTATCAATGAATTTTTATAAAATAAATGGTTAAATATTACTCTCTCAATATAAGTTTATTTGAACGTTGCGTTAGTTGTGGTAGAAAAAATAAATCATATTGGGTTTATTCAAAATCAACCCATTTTATCATATATTTGATTACATCATTTTGATTCCTTATTTTAGTATCGTGCGACCTTGATTTACAGCGCCACACCTACGTCACTCATTTCAGATTGCGGAAGCGAAGGGCGCTCATCTCAACTTTCTTGCAGCAAGTAAGTATTAAGACTGAATAAAGCAACGGTCTTTTCCAAAAGTTTGAAAGACTCTTTGGTGTTATAAAGTTTTGCATTAAGTTGTAAAATTATAGGTGGTCAGTCTCGAAATTTCCACTTTTTTACGCTTTCTTTTGTCATTGTGGAGCCCGCCTACATTTATACGGCACCTGTTGCGGGTCTGAGATAGGTTTGAAGTGTTCATAGGGTCGCATTTGCAATGCACTGTTTGATTCACAGTTGTTGGCTTTGATAGGTAATGCAAATCGATTTTCAAACTCTCCATACAAGCTGCTCTCTTAAATGAAGTTTACCTCGTGGTACTTTTTAATTTAATTTTTTTTATATTCATGGTAAAGTGAAGTAGCAGTGCAGTTCATTCATATCTAAAAGTTTATGATCAATAAATGTATTTAATTCATTCACAACTTTGAATGAAGCGCATAGACTTCTTTTCACTTCAAAAGAGTTAGGGTATGTCATTTGTTGCTGTCATCATGATAGTGCTTATGGGAGTGATCAAACCTCTTTTCTGTAAGANAAAAAAAAAAATTTTTTTCCAGTTGTAGTATCAGTTCATTGTTTTCAAAATCAACTCTTCACTAACATTTAAAAACAATGATAGTTATGTAAATATTTTTGAGACATTATTTGGATTATGTACTACTTATTTATATGGCATGTTTTATCAGTTTTGTAAACAACTACTGTTTTAATGACTTAGGGCATTGGTTCACATCAATGTTTTCGAAATAAACTATGCATTTAAAGAAAGCTTAAAACTTTTATTGATTTAGAAACTTTTAATCAGTTGACATTATTTGTTTAAAGGCTTTCAGCAGAATTATATGATGGGTTAATAGCTTTTCACTATTCAGATCTCGAGATGTCAATGGATATCTCGTCTTAAAGTTAGTGTAAGGATGGGTGTCATCTAGGCTGTGTTTAGATTAAAAAAATTATTAGACCAGCAGGATCGATCTATCTCTGCAAGAATTCTCACTTGAGTGTACTGATTGTAATCCGCTTAATTGTCAGGCTGGCCCCCTCCAGAAGCTTTGATAGATAATTACCCCTTAGATTCTGGAGGGGGCTGGTCAGACAATTAAGCTGATTACATTGAGTGCAAGAATCTTCCAGAGATAGGTCAATCCTGTCGGACTCGTAACTTTTAATCTGAATACAGCCTTAGAGACAATAGAAATCTCAAAAGCATTTGAGACTTATACCATTTAACACAGCAACAGGTCCTTTGTTTTTTGAATGTGTAAAAGCTGTGAGAGTCATAAGATTATGTAGGAGACACAAATTTACTTCTAATATTTAAACAAATCCTGTTTAATTTTTAACTCCTAGATTATCTCTGACCTTAACTTCCCATTGGTTAGCCAAAGTCAAACCAGGGAAAGGTCAGTGGGTTCTTGGTTGTTTTTTGTATGTCGAAAACAAGCAGTATCTTGTGGATATTGTTTTTGCTCACATGTTAAACTCAATATATACCAGTATTTTTGAAATGATGTATCTTGCCTTGTTAAGACTGATGATAGCCTGTGTTTTATGTCAAAGTCTTGTTCTTATTGTTAGGTATGAGAATGAAAAATAGCACACAATAATAATAAGCTGCCATTAAGTAATTAGTTGCCACAGCTTGCTGTTGGTTTTTGACCACCCAGTTAAGTTTTGTAGTTCATTTTCAAATTTCATATTTATAAGTTCAACAATGATATATTTGGTTTGGCCTCTGTAGTCCAGTGACCTGTCACATTATATGCTTCATGCTATATATTTGGGCATGTTATTGTTCTGTCAGTTAAAGAAACATACTACAAATATAAACATATAGAATTAAAATAAACATACTAGTAAATGTATCTCAGAATAACTTGCTGTGTATTAGTTTTTAAGAGAGACATCTATTTTAATTTGCTGCTCCGTAAATTTTACAAATGAATAAAAAGGTAGGACAGAGCTGACCTAGTTGTCTTATTCCAAATAAGGCTGCATGGGATAGCCATAGTTGTTGGATACCAGATATAGTCTAAGGAATGTGGGGTGATATCATAGGCATTAGACAAGGGAAATTCCACGGGACCAGACTTATTATAGTCAACAGATCAGCTAACATTTACACAGGGAGAGGGGTTTTAATGAGTTTGTGTTTGTGGGGGTGTAGGGAATATTTCCCTTAATGGATTCTTGCAAGGACTTCTTAAATATATTGATTAGGTCACTGCAGGTAATAGGTGTAATATGACAGACCATTCTTTGTATACTTGTGTTATGACTTGCTTTGTTCCTTACTTTCGTTGATGTAATTTTGACAAGGTAATATTATATGACTGTGGAGAGAAGACACTTTAGCCAATGACAGACATACGCTTTATATAAAATAAGACAGAAGTGTAGATCAAATCACAGAATTCTGAGGTGTTTAATTCAGATTCACAAACCTGAGATTCCTCAAGTTTAAGTTTTTGCACGGTTCTGTTCCACAGTGAATGTTCAGATTTAGAAACAAAACAAAAATAGGTTCACCTCTGCAAGAGTACCTGGTCCATATTTTGGACTTCATTGTCAACTCACTGCTCGAAGACAGATGATAACCTACACGACTGACAGGAGTGTCCTTCCATATAACTAAGAGAGTATGCAGCTACATGAATATAGTACCATGCCCCAAACAGGATACACTGCTGTGGATTTTATCTAGGCTATGTTGAATTAAGAAAATGAAGTGTTAGATAAATCAACAGTTTATTTAAGTGTACTGAGACTATCAATTTTTATAGTGTGCACTTTTGCATTTTGAAAGTTACCAAAGAAAAATTTAATGCTAGATGCAATACCATGAAGTTTTATCTAGTGGAACTGTGTTGAATGAAAGTGGATTGTTAGATAAAAAGAATTTTGTTTAATATGATTNCCGCTTAATTGTCAGGCTGGCCCCCTCCAGAAGCTTTGATAGATAATTACCCCTTAGATTCTGGAGGGGGCTGGTCAGACAATTAAGCTGATTACATTGAGTGCAAGAATCTTCCAGAGATAGGTCAATCCTGTCGGACTCGTAACTTTTAATCTGAATACAGCCTTAGAGACAATAGAAATCTCAAAAGCATTTGAGACTTATACCATTTAACACAGCAACAGGTCCTTTGTTTTTTGAATGTGTAAAAGCTGTGAGAGTCATAAGATTATGTAGGAGACACAAATTTACTTCTAATATTTAAACAAATCCTGTTTAATTTTTAACTCCTAGATTATCTCTGACCTTAACTTCCCATTGGTTAGCCAAAGTCAAACCAGGGAAAGGTCAGTGGGTTCTTGGTTGTTTTTTGTATGTCGAAAACAAGCAGTATCTTGTGGATATTGTTTTTGCTCACATGTTAAACTCAATATATACCAGTATATTTGAAATGATGTATCTTGCCTTGTTAAGACTGATGATAGCCTGTGTTTTATGTCAAAGTCTTGTTCTTATTGTTAGGTATGAGAATGAAAAATAGCACACAATAATAATAAGCTGCCATTAAGTAATTAGTTGCCACAGCTTGCTGTTGGTTTTTGACCACCCAGTTAAGTTTTGTAGTTCATTTTCAAATTTCATATTTATAAGTTCAACAATGATATATTTGGTTTGGCCTCTGTAGTCCAGTGACCTGTCACATTATATGCTTCATGCTATATATTTGGGCATGTTATTGTTCTGTCAGTTAAAGAAACATACTACAAATATAAACATATAGAATTAAAATAAACATACTAGTAAATGTATCTCAGAATAACTTGCTGTGTATTAGTTTTTAAGAGAGACATCTATTTTAATTTGCTGCTCCGTAAATTTTACAAATGAATAAAAAGGTAGGACAGAGCTGACCTAGTTGTCTTATTCCAAATAAGGCTGCATGGGATAGCCATAGTTGTTGGATACCAGATATAGTCTAAGGAATGTGGGGTGATATCATAGGCATTAGACAAGGGAAATTCCACGGGACCAGACTTATTATAGTCAACAGATCAGCTAACATTTACACAGGGAGAGGGGTTTTAATGAGTTTGTGTTTGTGGGGGTGTAGGGAATATTTCCCTTAATGGATTCTTGCAAGGACTTCTTAAATATATTGATTAGGTCACTGCAGGTAATAGGTGTAATATGACAGACCATTCTTTGTATACTTGTGTTATGACTTGCTTTGTTCCTTACTTTCGTTGATGTAATTTTGACAAGGTAATATTATATGACTGTGGAGAGAAGACACTTTAGCCAATGACAGACATAAGCTTTATATAAAATAAGACAGAAGTGTAGATCAAATCACAGAATTCTGAGGTGTTTAATTCAGATTCACAAACCTGAGATTCCTCAAGTTTAAGTTTTTGCACGGTTCTGTTCCACAGTGAATGTTCAGATTTAGAAACAAAACAAAAATAGGTTCACCTCTGCAAGAGTACCTGGTCCATATTTTGGACTTCATTGTCAACTCACTGCTCGAAGACAGATGATAACCTACACGACTGACAGGAGTGTCCTTCCATATAACTAAGAGAGTATGCAGCTACATGAATATAGTACCATGCCCCAAACAGGATACACTGCTGTGGATTTTATCTAGGCTATGTTGAATTAAGAAAATGAAGTGTTAGATAAATCAACAGTTTATTTAAGTGTACTGAGACTATCAATTTTTATAGTGTGCACTTTTGCATTTTGAAAGTTACCAAAGAAAAATTTAATGCTAGATGCAATACCATGAAGTTTTATCTAGTGGAACTGTGTTGAATGAAAGTGGATTGTTAGATAAAAAGAATTTTGTTTAATATGATTGGTTGATTGATTGAAGGATGTTGCTTCAATCATTTAAACATTTTAATTTATGTTTATTTTAATTCTACATGTTTCTGAGAGCTGACTTTGTCGATAATGAGATGAGTGCCTTTTTCATATATTGTGTGTGCAACAAGTGCATGGGTGCATATACCTGCATATATATATATATATACTCTTATTATGAGGAAATGGGTGCCCGATAGGGGCCATTATTAGAGATGCACTGTGTGCTTGATGAAGTGGTTATAAAGCACATTTATTGCTGTAGGGAATGACAGTCATAAAATATGATGGAAAATGGATACCTCTACAGTTTGGGCTTCATTCCATTGAACAGTCTTAAGCTATGATTATTAATTGAACTGTGAAGTGTTGACCGTCTATTTAATGCAATTCGATGTGGATTGCGTGACATCACATTTTTATTAGGTAATAAAAAAACACATTTCCATTCCATATGAAGTGGTTGGACCCCTCCTCCCCAGTACCACACCTAATAGGTTCTATGAATTCTCTTCCCTCTTTGAAAAAAAATGTCATGGTATCTGTCAAGTTGCATACAAGTCAAAAAAAATTTTGTTTAATCAACTGTCAAACAAGAAGGATCCAACTTCCTGATTGAAGAATCAGATTGCCAATACTTGTTGATGTTTGTGTTTGTGATGTATGTATTGTGACAACATGCAAAGAGTAAAATTCTTGGAAGAGTAACTTGGTTGGTATACGAAGGCAAAAAGGAAGTGTTCAAACTGACTGTGGGTACATTTACGTGACCAGTTGATTATATTGCTATGTGCACTTGGAGAGGGAGGGGGCAGATTTCCTTTAGACTTCAATAAATTAATACAGATGAGATTAAAGGCACAACATCATGCAGAAACCACAGAATTTTTTAAATGAGAATTGAGCTCTAGGTATTGATATTTGATTAAATGCAATTATATAATCAGAAACATGCTGTGTCCTTCACATGAAATATTGCAATCAACATAACTTTTCTCTCAATAAAACTATGGTCCAAAGCAGTCTTGATCAACATTAACTGATTCCTTGTCATTAACTGAGTCCTTGGATAGAAAATGGTACCAGCTGATTGGAAAAAAAAAACTGTGCATCCCTTTGAGAAACAATAGAGCAAACACATTCACAACCTGTTTTGCATGTGCAATGCAAGCAGGTGCATTAGAACGGTGACAGCAGGCACACATATTAAGTTCATATGTGGCATTTGATATTTTGCCATGGTGATAATATGAAGTGAACCTGTAGGCGCTGGAAGTTAATATACACCTCGGTCTCTAAACTATACGCTGTTAGTTGCTGGGTACAGGTGCATGGGAGTTGACAGTTGAACTTAAGTGGAAGAGACTAAGATTTTGGATACTGGATCTCAGAAACACAGTTTTTTTTTCCAGAATAGTAAGCTTAGCATATTTTAGCCTAGGTAGATGTAGAATCTGTTTCAGTAGTTAATTATGGAAGTTTGTGTTATTTATTGAATTTATCAGTGAATTTGAAACCAACTTAAACCAACTTAAACGAACAATCAATTACTATTTTAATATACCAGTGAATTTGAAACAAGCTTGAATGAACAAGCAGCTTGTATACTAATGAATTTGAAACTAGCCTAAACAAACAAGCAGCTTAATTAGAAGTTGTTAATTAACAAAGGTCTATGGGAACAGGACTGAGATGTGCACAAGTTTTTTTTTTTTTTTTTTTAAATTAAAACTGCCTTAGCATTAAACTAAGTGTTTGTAAAAGAACATGTTGCTTTTCCTGTAAAAATGATAATAATAATACACAGCTTGATATGTGCACTGCTGTGTGCAGTGATAAGGCAAGGTGTTGAGAAGTATTAAATGAAATCAAAATTTTATCTTCAGAAACCTCAAAACTAACTCACAATGGCAGACCAAGCCCACGCCGCAGTTGTGAAGTCGGCAGCCACGTTTGACCACAGTCAACTGAAGCATACTGAAACGGAAGAGAAGAACCCCTTGCCAACAAAAGAAGGTAACGTATGATAATTCTGTTAAACACTGTTCATAATTGGATACATATAGTCGAGCATAATTTTTGTTGAGGTTATACATATAAAGTAAAATATTATATAACTTTTTTAAAGTCTCATGTTTATCATGTCAGAATTCTTTCATCTATTTCATACCGTATTCACAGGTTTCTTTCATCTATTTCATATTCACCTTCAGACTTCTTAATCATCATTAATAAAAGTGAAACATTTATTCATTCATTTAGTATTGTGTCTGATACAGTTTTTTCCAGTGTCTTATGTTCTTTAAAAGTGTCAAGAAAAGTATCCGGTTTTACCCTGGACATCCCTTTTATGCCATTTATCTTCTATTCTTTTTCTGTGGCATTCCTATTCTTGTCATGCTGACAAGTCACCACCCCCTAAAGTGTGAAAAAAAAAGAAGAATCCAAATAATATGAAAGCTTTCACTGTGTTTGTCAATATGCTACATATTTCTCTGAGGCATTTCACTGAGTGTCCTGCATTTTGGCACATGTGTGTGATGTTCGTGTGAAGCAGGTGTGCAGTGGCTCTTTAGAAAATTGAAAATACTTTCTCACTTTTCACACATGTCCACATGTAGGAAGTGCCTGACTGAGGAACTCTGGATATGTTTTTAAAACCTAGTTAATAGTGGCCAGAATCCACGGATTAAGAGGCAGGTGCCCATACTGTAGGTGTTTAATTAGCAGTCCATGTTCATTGTTGCAAAATAGGCATTCTATGTAGGGATTGGAAAATAAAGCAGTTGTTGTGACAATATGGTAAAAGATTGAAGTGCTGCAAACCTTGCAGTACATTTTAACACGTTTTTAGAAAGCACATTCAAAGCAATGCCAATATGTACTCTAGAATTTAAGGAAAATGTTGTACCTGCCATGCTAAAAACACTTCAGTAAAAATGATTAAATGGACAAGATTATTTTGTATTCATATGAAAAGCTTAATCCGATACCAGTAAGACAATGGGAATCAGTTCTTATTTTAGCATACACTTTGTGGAATTGGATTATGCAACTTCCTCCAACTGCTGAGGGGTAATGAATTTGAATTATTTAATTACTTACTACAACCAATGAAAAGACAACCAGGAAGTAATTAACTCAACCTAGGTGTCACCTCCAGTGACTCAAAATTCCATGCCAGATTTCAAAATCTGGTAAGTAGGAAGTGATACCACAAATGATCAAAATCAATAAACAATGAAATGACAAAACCCTATAGACATGTATGAACCATTCAGGTGATAAGAATTGACATTGGCGTAGATAATTTGCAGTAGTCCAATGGCAGATCTTCTATTTTTCAAAAAGCTTTTCATTGATATTTAAAAAATGTCCGTAGTTGTCTGTTGAAAACCACAAGGAATATCTTAACAATGCAGAATGCTATTCTGGTCAACACATCCTTGTTGTTCAAATATTAAATCAGCATTTGTGCACATATAGACACAAACGTTGTACATTTGGTGTATTTCAGTTTAGTGAATAGTCATGTTTGATTTGATAAATGGAACAAAAGTGAAAAAGAAAGTGAAAAATGCTGTTTTTATCCTCATTCAAAAAATGTAAGTCAGTGCTTAAAATTTTCCTTTTTGGTTGCAATTTTCTTGATTGGCGGAACATTACTTCCCTATTTATACTGATGTCAACTATCAAGGAATATTGTATGAAGGATATTCCAAAGAGATATGTGCATTAGTGTCTGTCTGTGTATGAGAGCATTCACATCGAGAAGAGCCGAGGTCTAGCAAGGCCAAGACCTAATTATGGCGGACCTACATGAAAGGAAGTAATCCTTAAATAGTCTCTCAATGAATGTGAGTGAATGTCATTGAGACACTATTAAAGGATTACGCGGTCTTCCTTTAATGTAGGTCCGCCATATTTAGGTCTCGGCCTTGCTAGACTTTGTCTCTTCTCGATGTGAATGGTCTCTATGAAGTATCTGTACACATTGGAGACTCTGAGGATATTGTAAATTCTTTATGGGCTTATATCTGTAGATTTAGGTGATCTGTGTATTTAATCAGGACAGATAAGTATCCAGTGGACACAATGGATTGATGTAATGACAAGTACAAAATGCATTCACTAGTGGGCTGGATTTGGTCTTAAAGTGCAATTTAAGTTCACAAGTGACCTTACACGATCTTAAACATTACAGCAGTAGTCTTAAAATGTACTGAATCTGCTTTTAAGATCAAAAATGATCTAACATCTACTTAAATGGTCAAGCAGTTTCCTCCCCTCACAATGGGGGATACCTCCCCTCACAATAGAGGACACCTCTGCTCACAATAGGAGAATGTATAAGGGGAGACAACTTAATTGGCTGTTAGACCAGAAATAGTCTTACTCATGGTTTAAGATCATGTAAGACTATTTGTGAACTTAAATTGCACTTTAAGACCAAATCAAGCCCACTAGTGATTGGATGAGATATGTCAACAAATATTACATGAACCACAAGTAATTGTAATGGCAGTCTTGGTCAGTCTTGGTTCCATTTCTATGTTTAGTATGGAATCGGGTGTTAAAACTGGTTTTTGATTTCTTTACATCAAAATGCACTGCTACATATCTTGTTTAAAATAAACCTTACATATGATTCTGCTGTTAATCCATCTTTGACGGTCATTGTCCTGTGTTGTCTAAAGGGTACTGTGATCAAGGAAGTAGACACCATTTTAATTAAAACTGATTGGGTTGCATATTTAAGTAATACATTTCAAGTGTTAAGGATGTATTTGTCAAGGGATAGGATGAGATCACACCACTATGTGCTGATATTCCTTGTACTCAATTAAGAAGTTCAAACTGTTCACTGGAGTGGCTGTCAGATTTCGCCATTTAATTTCTGTTTTCATTTCATGAACCCAAAAGCAGTTTCAAGCAATATGGAAGTAAAAATGTCCTTTTAAAACCATTATTGCATTTTGTCTCTCTCTCATTTACTTAAGAAATATAGTGGCACAGTTCATAATTTAAGGTTCTACCTGGGTACCTGACATAGCAGAGGTGCCAGTATATTTGTATATTTCTTTCTAACCTTTTTTCCCCATTAAGTAGCAATAAGGAATTATATTTATTTTTAGATTTTTTTATATAATGGGCTTGGAGGCTGGGATTAACCAACATTTATTTCAGAAAAAAAGGTAAAGATAAGAATCAGAGGGATGTAAAGTTTTGACCTGAATCTGGTCTAAAAGTGGTAAGCTATCATTTAAAACGGAGGTTTTTATCAGGAGTTGAAAAGGTCTGACAAAACATACTAGCAACTATTTACACAATCATTTAAACTAGGTAAATGCTCTTACATGCACCTTGATTTTAAGTGGATTTGGTAATGATTTGGTGAGACATTTGTTTACTACAGGGTAGAGTGGCTTGTCTTAATAAGCAGTTACCCGAATTTGCTTTAAAAATGTCACTTGACACATTCTACTCATCAGCAGCTGAATCCTGCTCAAACTAAAAAGCCCATTTAGTGACTGTCCCCTAAATTTTAAAGGATCTTAATGACATCACTTCTCAGAAACTGGCCCTTAACATTAAGATGTTTTGTTGAATGAAGTTGGCCAACAATTTTTTCCAACTTTTCCTATTCCACATGCGCGATTCATGTTACTTAATCAGTAATGAGATTTTTCCGACAATCGGCATATTTCTGATATTTTGGGAGCCAAAAATAATATTTGAGATCGATGCAGCCCCCTCACCCCCCCCCCCCCCCCCCCTCCTGGACCCCACATCATATTTCCAAACTTTATCACTAAATGGCAGTCTTATCCCTGCTGTATGTGATGAAGGACCCATACCGGAGCTAAGGTGACCACCTTAGTGAGGGTTCAGTTTTATGCATACAGCACAAATCATAAGTGCTATATTATGTGGTTTGACACCAATCTTGATATAGCGGTCACATTACACTATTAGTCATTGCAGCCACGTTATCTGGGCCAGGCATGAATACTGAGCCACTGTTTACAGTCTCTGCGTAGGTGTGTAGACAAAGCTGGAACATGCTCCATGCTTCAGCAGAGCACTGAGCAGAAAACCTCCCTCTCAAAGAAAGTGGTATGAACTTGATGAATGTTTTCTCAGTGTTTGAAGTCCTGCTGGGGAAAAAAATTGAAGTATTGCTGCCTCACTATTTTACTTTGACATATTTTGACTGTCAATATGTTTTTGGACATAAAATACTTTTTTTCGAGTCCACATTTTTTAATGCATTGATTTATGATCATTTTAGAAGCTAAACAATTGAATATTGCAGGTGGTTCTGTGTTTGACAAAATGCTGTAGATTCAAACGTGGAAGATAAAATGGAGAAAAAAGAACTTTTTGGAATTAGTATGGGCAGTGTGGGATATCTCATCTTGAAGTGCCTTTTTTCAGATATTATGTAAAGAACATGAATAATAAGAATTCACAGTTCAAGATGTTTAACAAGGGGTTTGCCTGCTGTTGCTTTAGAAAACCCCAGTTGATATAAATGAGAACAGTGTTTTATGCCATATGAAAATAGGCAGTAGAAACTACGATCATAGGGGCACTTCTGAGGCTGATATTTTGTCAGCCTTAGCTGGGTCAATTCATTGTGGCTTTGGGACATCCCATCTTGTTTAACCAAGGTGTCAAACATTTCATGCCTTGTGGTCATGAAAAAAAAAGGAACGCAATTGAAAAATACATGTAAGTAGCTGGTATTCATACAGTTTTAGATGGGTCATGTCAATGGCTGGTGTTGCTTATGGCATACCTGTGACAAGAATACACTTGCAGACTTCTACTTTGTTGGATTGGTTTTATGTATGGAAGAGTACTAGACTATACTGTGTGTAGCACGAGATGTTTGTGCATGCAGGTCTGAAAAATATGAGTGGAGTCATTGTAAGGGGTCTTGCCAGTGCTAAAGTTACATTGTATTTGTCTGATGTCAATAAAAAAAGTAAAAGAAAAATATATATTTGGAAAAGTTGGCCGTTATATCTCTTCAATTATGTAGTATGATTTTGTCACAAAATGTTTTGAGGTAAAAAGAACTGGATTTTTTTTAAACCAGTTCTTTTCGGCCCTCTGCACAGGGTCATTGTACTTGAAAAGATGGTTTTGAAGCTACATGAAAAACACCATGGATAGTGTTTAGTAAGTGGAAATAAAACTTTGAAAAGACACAGTGACGTGTTACGGAATTGTATTTAAAGTATATATACTCACTATAATGAGTGAGTCATCTAGGTATGGTGGCTGAGTTAATGCCATATTAAAATAATCATACCAGGAACTGTGACTGTTTGATGCATGCAGATGATTAAATGATAATTAAAAAAATATAGCCACCTCACTGCCATTGTCACTCTGGATATTTTTGTACACATGGAGGATGATGGCTAATGTTTTCTCCATTAGCCAAGACTCAAACAGCTCATTAATTTTTTTTTTTTTTTTTCGTTCAGGGTGGAGTTCATAGATGTCAGCTTAATCATTCTACCATTAAGATTAAACACTAATAAATCCAAGCCATAACCATATTATAACATTGTGTTTTATTGCTACAGGTAATTCTTTCTTTGTGTGTGTTAATGTTGCATAAAAATGTCATGTTCTCATGTTTAAATTAAAATGTAATATTTTGGTACTTAAGGTTCAATTTAAATGAGTTTGACTAAAATTTATCCAACAAGATAACATATATGTTTTTGTCCAAATGGTAGGTCAGAGAATTAAAAACTACAATGTTTTGACTCATTTATGTCTAAAGATTGAGCTCAAAAGAAATTCACCCTAATGAGCATATCAGCTTCATATCATATGTTCAAGATTAACATAAAATTTTGGACAAATTATGCAGGTTACCAATTAATCCCTAGTTTGGTCAATGTACATGTGCTGGTATATTTATTTCACTAGATGAAGGCATTGATGCATATTTCCAAAGATGGAAAACAATTATTTTTATTGAATATCTCTATGATTTATTTATAAAGATGCTCTAATTGTCTAGTTATTTTTTGTATAAACTGAACACTCCCTGCCCCTACCCCCTCTCTTTCTCTTTCTCATTTGGAAGTGACACATTTTTCTTTGACACACTGACCACATATCTATGATTACTTAATCCAAAGTGATATAAAAGGCATCATAAAGATGATAAATTGGCTATATTCTTATCAGTTGCAATTTACTCTACATGGTCATGATAATCTTACACCCACATGAAGAGATTGAAACTCTTCCTGCAGTCCTTACCTAGTGACTAATGAACAACTATTGCAAAACCAGACTGTGGTAATTAATGCAGAATTAATTCTGCCATTTACCTTTGGCTGCATTTGCAACCAGCTTGATTGCACTATTTTTGCTGTTGCTTTTGCCAGATCGATACAGTTTTCTGCAGGTCTATGGAGTGATTATGATCATTACTTCAGATGACTTATAAAATTTTAAAGATCATGGCCCTTCCTATGGGGAAAAACTGACCAAAGGCGTGGTCAAGACAGGCTGCTTAAATTCTTGGTGATACAGGACACCACTAGTTAACATATTGGCTGCATGACCAAAAGCATATCTAGTCTTGATTGCTGTGAATTAGTGATGATGTTAACCACCATTGAAAATATCCAAAAATGACCCCAAGCATGTCCAGGTATGGGGTTAATGATGATTGCAAGGGTCAGGAAAGTGCCAAAGGAAAAAGAAGATAGAAATGAGAAGTGCAGCTTCCACTGCTATATTCAGAATAGGTTTGATAAAAATGATTTTATGTTCACACCAACTCCTGGGCCTCTATTGCTGAATGCTACATTAAAGTCTAACAGAGGTGTAACAGTTTGTGTGCAGGGGAAGGTTAAGGAAATCCTCTTTTTTGAAATATGAACTTCAGGAACTTAAAAACATCAAAACAGAAACTGTTTTTCTGAAAACCCTTCGGTACTGGGCTTATTATGATGACCATAAAGTGTCTGGAGACCTGAAATGCCCCTTGAAAAATCTTGACCATGCAATCACTGTGCTGAAAGAAAAGCACAGACTATGCATGATATCTCTTGTTTCTTTGTTATTTTATGCCCACAGTCCAGTTAACTTGGTTTGCAATTATTATGGAGGATCAGTCATGTGTGGAACGCATTTGGTCACCTGTCAAAGAATCTACAGTTGAATAAACGCTGTGAAGTATACACAACAAACAAGGTTCATGACTGTTTAGGCAAGTCAGTAGCTTTACCAGACCAGAGAACAAAACCCTTTCCGGACATTAAAAAATTTGTTTCTTGTATTTTCACTGATACTGGTGGGATTTTGTTTGCAGAGACTTCCTGGTTGAAAACATAGGAATGTTCATACTTCCTGAATTGTTTTCTTTCCTCTGTTTTTGCAGCTTGTCAAAACAGTCTGGAAGTTACCTAATCTTTTCATTCTACTGAAAACCAGATGACAGAAGAGTGTTTTTGAATTAAGTACTCTTGAATTTAGTGACTGAGAAAATTTTTATTATTATTATATTTTTTAAATTCTTAACCAACTATGGTGTAGGGAAGTCTGGTACTTGCCCATCTCCTGGAAATTACCCCTGTATTTCTAGTATCTGTTTTCATGTACATTAACATGCTTTCTTTATGTATTTCTGTGTGTTTTAGGAGAAACTTTCAAAGTATTTCTCTGTTGTGGTTTAGCTTTTGTCTCAGTAGACTCAAATGTAATCTTTGGAAGATGCATATATAATACTAGTATAATGTATGTGGACAACAATATCAGGGAATATTGAGACATTAACATTTGTTCAGATATATGTTATCTCTTTGCATGCCTAATGGATTTTATTTTTTGTTGGTAATTGTCATGTGATGTTCAGTGTTAATCCTGTTTTTTGTCATCTAACAACATTTGCAGTAAATGTTTGTATTTTTGCCAATGTATGTCACCGTTACTGTTACTGTTCCACTTGCATGTCTTAATTTAATATTTAAGCTTTGTTGAAATGTGTTTTGTTTGTGGTTAGTAACTGTCACTGCTTTATTCACCCTCGTGTGAGTAGATGTAAAAGAAGAGAAGAAAAGACAAAGCTTGCTAGATGAGGTGGCAAACTTCCAGTCCGAGAACTTGTCTCCGACTCAGACCAAGGAGAGGGTTGTCCTTCCAGACTCCATCAGTAAGTCCACCCACAGTCACTAGTGGTCACTCACATGGTGTGGTCAAGAATTGCAGTGGCTTGTGTATTAATGCCTGGGTCTGCTTATGTACTAGCATTTTCACCATCTGTACTGCTTGACTTGTGGCACTAATACGAGGACTTACATAAACTGTACAACACAAATGTTCTTTGATGTATAAAATGCAAACTTCAGTAGACTTTTTTATTCACAAGGATAAACAATCTCAAGTATATTAGTGGTTGTGTTCAATAATGTTTTTTTTCATGTATCATTGGTGCATGAACTGGCATCAGATGTATGTGCAAGCACGCATATGTACACATACACGTGTACAATTGCATGAGCATGACAAATTGTTTTCGGAGACTAGATGCCTTGGGATTGTTTATCTGATATAGGCATACAGCAAAATATTCAAATAAAATACATAAAGGCATATAATAAACTTCTTTAGATGTAGCTAATACAACTTCTAAATTTCCAGACTGAGGGAATGGTTAAAGGTTGCAATTCTTAATGCCATATATTAACTTCAATTTGCATCTGAATGTTCTCTTTATAAGTCACATAATAGTGATTTATTGTTCTTCTGTGGCTTGGTCTGAAGCTATAATTCTAAATCAGAATGCCGTTATATTTGTTTGTGCAGTGCTGTGATATCTTCTAGAGTATAACATCCTTTTTGGTGTATATTTGTTCCCTTGCAAGCTCTGTATTCTTGGTATTTGACCAGTCTATGTCATCTTTCTGAAGGTGTCTGATTTTATTCTTGGCAGTGTCCTTGAGGCTCTTCCCTTTAAGCTTAAATATGTGCTTACTGTTGCACACAAACAATAAGCAGTATAAGCTATGGACTGCAAAACCTAAACACTCTGTAGCAAATGGCTTTATCGAAATTTAGAGTAACATGGATAAAGAAGTTGTTTTTAAATTCATTTAGGTAATGAGGAAGCTTTTGCAGGTTGATTCTGTATATTTATATAGATGAACAGGTAAGTAACCCACTAATAAATGGATGGTGGGTTAAAAATTAGTTGATAAGATTTGAACTGAATTTGAGGCAAATGATATTGTCTGATGCAGCGTGTTAAATTTGAGATATCAGAGACAATTTGAAGTTATCAGCAGCCATTTTAGGACAATGCTGATACAAACATAATGAAACCAAGTTATAAATATTAATACTGTTGAATTATCATGCCCCAGGATTTGTTAGATTTTAAATGGTAGCTTCTCTTTGGTAGTTTGTGATTCTTTGTTTTTGTTTTCATTTTGTTTATTCATTTATTAGCGTGGCCTATAATTGTGTACATTTTTAATTTTTGCATTTTCTTGAATTTTTGTTCATTGCAATACTGTCTCATAGAATGCGTACACCCATTTTCATACCATATGTGTCATACTCATCCCCACAGAACATATTTCTCTACATTATCTCAGCTCTCTCTCCAATTTATCTGAAAGTTACTTTGATACAGACCAATAAAAGATATACCATTTGTCATCATGGGAATGTGAAAGTGTCATTTTTGACATGTTATGTGCAACTTGTACTGACATGTCACTGACATCCATGTCATTGATGTTTGGAATGTGTGACATTTTCATCTCTGTCATGCCACAGCTATTATGTTCTGCAGGGTTAACAATATCCAGGTATTAAATGTCTCCTACTCTTAAGAAGAGACAAACTTTTCACCCCTTTAAATAAAATGCACTCTGTTACCCATAAGCCAACTGGACATAGTTGAGCCATAAATGCTGAACAAAATGCGTGTTTGAGATGGGTTTCAAGTTTGATAAAAGAATGAAAACGGGGATTTTAGGGAGGCAGGTGCACTGCCGTGCAGTCTTGTCAGTGGTGTGGAGACCCTTCATACTTTACTTACTGTGACATGGAATGTTTGCTGTGTGGCCCCATTGTTATATTTGATAATAACTGCACTGCAAAGTGTTCTGTGTATGTATGTGTGTGTCTGTGTTGACACTGTCTATATATATATTATATTTAAATCTTTCTTACTCTGTATATACGAGCATGCATGAGGCAGTTGACTACTAGGACAAAGACGGTGTTCAGTTTGATCATGTGAAAGCTATGATGGTGTCAACATCATTTTGCTTGAGTCCATTCTTGGACTTTCTTTTTAGCTTTCATGAAATAAGTGATTGATTTTTTTTAATGTTCAACAAAATTCCATTACCTCAGCATGAGATTTAGAACATTTATTAAAAAAGAAAACATTGCATTAATGACATAGAAATACAGCTATTGGTCATGTATTATATATAGCTAATTCCCCTCCATGACAATTTTTTCTGTCCACAGCCCTTTCAACTTCCCATATCCAATTATTAATAGGAAGAAAATTGACGTAATTACCATGTCTCTTTTTTAAGCCATATTGGCTGGGATCAGCTTGACAACTTGACAGTTGTATGGAGGGGGGGTCTGTAAATTTCCCCGTACTGAACGCCGTTTTTGTTGTCGTGGGTGATTGTATTAGCAGCACAGTTTGCATGTTGTGGTAGATATATTACTTTCTGAAACTTAACATTTTGACGTGTATGGCGTGCAGTGCAATCGTAATCCACTTGCTGAACTCCCTGAATGCAATTTCCGGTAGAATAGTTCTTGTAGATTATTGATTGAATTTTCACCAAGTGTAAGTCTAGACCAATTATCAGTAATTGAACATTTGCATTTGTCTTGATTTAATGACCAGAAGTAATGAGAAAATTGTCAGCAGTGAGATAACCAATATTTTCTATTATTTTTTCTCTGGAGTGAAAAATTCTTACTTTTTGTTTAATTTACATTTACATTTGAGAAAAATTATGATTTTTGCAATGAACTATTTTCTTAAAAATTTAATTGTCTTTTAAATGATAATTCCCTTGAATGATAATCACACTGTAGTTTAACGAAATTGCACTGGGATGCATGGGTCGCTTATTACAATTGCTTACGCCTGAAGCTTAGTATGTGTTTGTCTGACATCCAACTGTAGCGCTAAAACAGGCCAAACAGCACCAGACCTTTATCCAGAGTGTGGAAGGACACAGCAAGAATAACCTGCGCCATGCTGAAACCCTGGAGAAAAATTCCCTGCCCGATCCTACCAGTAAGTATCCCAGCATGCTTTGCATGGTAACCCCTCATCACATGTTCGTATAACTGAATGGCTTTTTCTCAAACAGTCGAGTGTATTGTACTTAAATTTTGTGGGTGGTGTTGTGAGTTTTCAGTTTTGAAGCCGTCATTCAGATTTGACTACAGATTGTGTATTTGGGCTAGATGTCAAATCTTAACTTTGGTGTTAATTTGAGATTCAAATCATACATGTCTCTGAAAATAATTTTCAATTTATGTGAAACTGGTCTGGTTTATTATCTGTCGGGGGAAAAAAATTCAGAAAATCCCCATACTATTATTGCCTTGTCTCAACATGTATCTGGGTTGTTTTCTTTTAATCGAATTGGTTATTTAGAAAGCAAAGCATCGTGTTGACTGCATTTCTTTGACGAAAAAAATGTGATGAGGGGTGGCCAGTGTTATATCGCCCTTAGAGGTTCTTTATGAAGCTATTTGCATGAAGGTCTGAACAAAGGCATGTCTGACATAACATTGCTCATTCCTTGCATTTGGCAACTGCCGTCACTTCTGCAATCTGCATTAGACATTAACTGAAAACTAAAACTCTTCCGTGATTTTTATGCACGTTTTATGTGCATTGTCTTCCAAGCCAAAGGAAATTGTTGTCATTGTACGAGTTTTCACTTTTCAATTGTCAGTGATGCCTTATCAGGATGTGTTGCTTGCTGGCTTGCTTGCTATGTTTACCTTTAGATGTTATTTGTTTTATCTACGTCTAGCTTTCGTTCAATTTTGCACAAGAAGTTTTTTAATGTGAATGTGCCACCGGAGCTGCTTTTATGAATTCTGTTGGTGTTGTGAGAATTATGATATTCATGCTTTTCAGGCTCACTTTGATTCAGTTCTATGCATTTTGTTGCATAATTTATTGAATAATACATCACAGCTTTAAATGGAGTATTAACTGGTGGAATAGTTGGATGAATGAGGTTAAACATCTGAACACATATTACCAAGAGTTTCCCAGACAATCACTATAATGATATAACTTCACTATTTATACAGATGCAGGCCTCATCAATATTGTATATAAAACCATCATATGAAACCCAACCAGAGCAGAGTGTACTTATGTAAGAAAGTAACTTTAAACAATGGCCATTACCTTTTAATTTAGAAAACTGCTGTTTGCAATGTTCAGGTCAACCATAAACAAAAAGTAACAATAATATTATAATGACATATGCCATTGCCAAAGGGAAAAACTGGGAGCTTTCATATTCACTTCAGCCAAAATTATTTTCCATTATTTCACATAGTTATTTATTCTGTCTGTTCAACATGCTACCTGTTCACCACACGATCCTAAAAACACGAAGGCGTAACTAGCTATTGCCTGACATGCACTGGAAGCAAGTCAGAGATGAAAAGAATATTTGCCAAACATGCCATGCCATTCTGTCAGTTCTGCCATGACATAAATTGAGATTGTTCTGAACAACATATTTGAAATGAAAATTGCCCAATTTGCTAAATTGTTTTACAAAAACTGTTATTGTAAATGGCTGCTGGAAACATGAAGAAAGTGGAAAAGAAATGGCTGTTTTGGCTATCTTTTATGCCTTTTGATGGTTAAGTTTTTAACAATTTCCCCGAACAAAAGTGCATGATGCTGTATGCAAATAAGACAAACCCATCATTTGCAAATTAACCAAGGACTCGAACTAAGTAACTCAATTTTTTCAACATGGATATGATGCATGAAGTGACATTTAAAACACATCAACCATCACAGCTTTCTTCTATCAGCATTGACAATAAGCTGCAACATGTCAAATATGCAACAACATGTCAATTTTTTTCTGCTTCCTGGCAAAGTTGAGAAAATGATAGAATTGTTGTCATAATGGTAAGTTGCATTTTAAAAAAAGCAGACTTCAATTCTCACTTTTAGCCTCAGTCAATCAAATACAAAGCAGAACATCCCCCAGAAATAAAATAATTAAAAAATATATATGAAAGTATAATGAAGGAGGAGTCACGGGAATTGAAATCAACATGAGTGGAGAATGAAGGAAATTTAACTTCCCACCCAGGGGCGTAACCAGGCATACGCACGGATGCACTGTGCGTACAATTTTTTGAGCCAACCATGATATTATTCTCCATAAATTCAGTGTAATTTTCACGGAATATAATTGTACCTGGGAATTTTCAAAATCTGTGCGTACAATTTTAAAAGGTCTGGTTACGCCCCTGCCACCTACACAAAAATGATGTCAATATTCACATTTGATCTCTTGTCATCTCTGCCAAACTGTTTTTCCTCAAGGTAACATTTCAAACCCTTGCCAATCTCTTCGGCCTATTTGGCAGAGATTGAAGTGTTTCGTCTGGCAGATTTGGAGGCATTTCCATGTTTGGAACTACTTAAGCTTGTTCACCACAGGGAAGACTGCCTTCAAGCAGTGGAAAGTGTTAACCACTTCGATG